TTTATTTGCAGTACATTTATGCTGTTCTTATTAAACATCTGTCTGATTTTTGTATGGAAACTGTTCTTGTCAATTTTGACTGCTATTTCAGTTTGAAAGAAATGATGAATTGATTCTAAACTCTGTTTATGAGCACAAATTCATATTTAATTTTTGGTTTGCTACAAAATCAGTTACTCAAGTTGTTTCAGATTTGGCTACTGCTGGTCATATGCATCCAACTGTGTGAAAATCCACTTTTTAAATAGAACATTCCTTACTTATCTCTGAGTTTTTCTTAGGAGTTTTGACTGAGTTTTGACAGTTCATTAAACAATCTTGAGCATATTCAATTTTTCATATTTAAGAACAATCTAGTAATTTACAAAGATGCAATATTCATATGTCTAATATTAGAAATTCCCAATAACCCGAATGAGGTCTTTAAAGCAGATGACAGAAATTCTGGCTATGTCGCATATATTTCTAGCATCTGGCTTTCTTGTTAAATACACACAAATACTTGTTCATGGTCTAAGTATTTTAACAGTATAAAAGCAGGATTCCTAGGTTGTTCTGTTCATTTGCTCTTTAATGTTAGTTCAACAAAAATAGTTCTTCACTGAGTTCAAGTTGTGTGTTACAGAGATATTGTTATAGCAAAGATACATTGTGTGATTATCCTCGATTCCATCACCTTCTCTGGCTTCATTATTTCAGTTTTCCCTGGAATTGTTTCAGTTGTAAACTTCCAGATCTCTGAAGTACTTCAGAGACTAACTATTCAAAACAAAAAGCCTGACATATTTTCCTTTCCAAATTTAGAATGTTATTGCATAACTCATACTGTCCTAAAGCAAGTATTGTTCTGAACTGCTGAATGCTTCAAGTCAAATGAGTTTTCCAAGTTAGAAATAAGATACCAGTAGTCTATAAATCAAGGAGGTTCCCAGTCATGTCAAATAAGCTTTTCTTTAACCCTTCTAACCCCAAATTTCATATTTTGAAATGTTGACTCTTTTTTCCATAGAGATAATGCTATTTTACTAATATTTAAGATGTGTGTCTTTGATATTGTGGACATTATCACTGTAGAACAAGATAAGATTTAGCATTAACAGTGTAGAAAAACTGTTGCTAACATTCTCAAAACACTTTCTATTAAGTGTTCTGTAAAATGCAACAATATAAATAAATGATGTTCCTTATGTCTTCATCCTGATCGAGTTCACCTTTAGCTTTGTTTTAGAAATAGTTTAGATCTATCTCTTTTGAGCTAGCCATTTTTGGATTCACAAATCTATGATTTCCTTGAAATGCTAACCATCTATTTAATCACAGACAAGGGGCAGGCAGATTGGCCCCATATTATAACAAAGGAATGAGAGAGAGGGAGAGAGAGAAAAAAGACATCTCTGTGAGGACAGAAAAATTAATCTGTAGAACAGATGGTTAACTTATAATTCACTATCTGCTTTGTCATATGAAATGTCATGACTTAGACATTTTAGTTTGTCTAAAATAAACCAAACTTTTAAGGGGTTTACCTAACCAGTCAAAATTATTTTCACAGGTCAGCATATAGCCATTGCTATAATGCAATAGCATTATAACAACTGTGTTCTTCTTTCTAATAGTCTCATTTTTTCCAGTAAAGACCATTGTGCACCATCCAGATTCTAGCACAAGGGAAAAACAATAATCCTATCTATATCATTGCTGCAATCTGTAAAGAGAAGTTTTCACAGCTTGTACGTTATATATTTCTGTTAGAAGCTGACTAAAAGGCAGGGTAACAAAATTAATTTGGCAATAGTATCTGCTGTATGAACACACTGGAAGAACATTGACTTGTCTATAGATATAAGATCAAATTTTTAATAAGGTCTGATGCATTTGAAAGAAGTTTCCTGAAGGTTCTCTGGCATATTAATATGGCCATAATGAAGCTGCTGAAAACTTTTGATCTTTTTGACATAGTTGACAAATACTCAAGTTTCTATAGAGGTAATTTCCTTAATGATAGTGATTTTCACATGCTCAATAAATACCAGTACCATGTGATCAGCTGCATTAAAAATTGTGAAGAATGTGCTGGTGTGTCAGTGAAACTTTTTAATTGTTTTACTGGCTTTCTCCCATGTACAGCCGGCTATTTTTCCAGGAAAGCTCTTCCCCACAGTTTCTAATCCATAAAAATTAAGCTCTTAACTAGAATTGAAAAAAAAAAAAAACAGAATGGAAACTCATTGCTTCTTCACATGGCTAACATCTGTTGTTGCTACGGGAAACAGGAGATCTAGTAAGGTGTTTGTTGTTCTTAACTTAAAAGGCTTGGTTCTTGGGGATATTGAGCTATAAAATATCATTACACCTTCTTGTACTGATGTCCTGTGACAGCATTTAATTGAGCCATTTGAGCCGTGTCAGGTAGTGCACAATCCTAGGCAGAATTTTCACGTAGTCATCACTGCTGTCTATTTTTGCGAGGTGCCAATAATTTTACCTCTGTTACCTTATAACTGAAATCTATTGTGAAAAATGTATGTCACAAGCCATATAATAAGGGATTTAAAAAGCAGAGACCCTCAGTCTGGGGAGGAGAAGGCCTGAGGGCAGGTGAGATGGAGCCTTACAAAATAGCGAAGGTGATAGGCGAGGGAAACATAGGGCCGCAGTCCACAGCAAAATGAGAGGTGCTTGGAGAAACTTCCGGTAGATCCATTTAAAACCCACAAAAATAAGTGTTTCCATCTACTTTTGGAGCTTGCTGCCTCCAGAACTTGTGGCAGTGGATGATATCAGCAGGTTCAAAAAGGCTTTAGATCATGAGGTGGGGGGATGGTAGGAGCAGGATCATGAGGTGGGGATGTGGTAGGAGCAGGAGGGGCCTCCTGATACCGTGGATGCTAAGGGAGAGAGAGTAGTGGCCAGTCTAGCACGTTATTTCTAGTGCCCCTCTTGAAAGCAGAGTATTTCTGTCTGGACGGACCCTTAAGGCTTACCCAGTAGGGCATTTCCTAGGATTTCTTTCAGGTATTCTAGCTGAGCTATGTGATTCAGGCCTACGTACAGTGGGCACATAGACATATACTAGGTGATGCCTAGTTTGTGAGAATCTGTTTAGTCAAAGTCCTTTATTTTCTTTAGCTATCTTCTTAGTTTCATCTCTTTCAAATAAATTGCCAAAACCTGCCTTGTTAATTCTGGAAAATCATTTATGTAATTCTGGTATTTATTTGCACATTTTGCTTTTGTTAAACAGATGTCCCCTTTTGTGTTGGAACGCTCCAACTTAAACAATACGGAAATAACCAAACGTGCCCCCAGTCTTGGCAGTGAACTAGAATAAAGGTGTTTTTATGGTTGATGAGGTAAAATTTATAAACTTTATAAAAATTTGCAAGTGCGTTTTTTATGCCAGAGAGAGAACCCTTCCCTTGACTGCCAGATAAGACACTGCAAATTCAAGCTTTTAAAGTTCTTCTCTTTCATCAGTTTCATATAGCTCTTCTTGAGCTGTGTTTTAACATTGCAGCATTTCAGTTGAGTTTGTTTCATTGAAACAATTCTCATCTTAGTTGCAGACTTAGTTGCAGTTCCAGGATTATCAGAAGATTAAAAAAAATAAGGTACCTTTCTAATTCATGCATGCAGTTTAGGCCATAGTGTTTATGCATCTTTATTCTGCTTGTCAGAGTTGAAGAAAACTGCACAGAGATGGAGAAACGCTAATGCAATCATGATCATTCAGTGAAGTTCAGAGTTGCACAATCAATAGGTTTCTGCCTGCAACTATCAGTTTAAATGTTTTTTAGTAAAATCCATTCATTGCCTCTTAAAGTAGCTACATTTCATCAACACTGTGATGGTACCTAGAAAGTGATGAGGTACCTAGGAAGGAATGACTTCCTGTGTTGAATTTTGAAACCATCTGGAAATGTTTTCTGTGCAACTAGAGGTTCCTGTTTAGCTGCAAAAGTACCCGTACATTCAGTATGAATGACAGAAGAAAGTGCATCTCTGTCTCTATATGGGAAGGCCTGAGGTTTTACAGGAGGGGGTCTTGGAGTATGGAAGCAGGGTGGATGAAGGACCTGGATGAAGTGGAATGGAGAGAGGAGTCCCGAGGAAGAGCGAGCCGCTGGGCAGCTCCTGGGGTGCTGCGTAGGGTGTAGGAGAAGAGCTGGGTTTGGCCCTGCTTCCTGGTGGAACAGCCTGGCGGGACTCTTAGCCATTTGCTTACCTGGCAAGGCCACTGATATTTCTTGTAATATTGAGGTTCCTCTGTAGTGTAAATATAATGTTTTTCAGGTAATTTTCTTGTATTCTAAAGCTTCAGAACAAAAAGTGCTGCTGTTTGCATTTCTGTTCATATTATCAAATATTTGATTGCTCTGTGGCTTACTTCTGCACTTGTACAACGTTGTGGATTTTGCCATAGATGAATATCATATTGAAATGGTATATGATGGTTATTTTAAAAAAAACTGATGGTTATTTAAAAAAAAAAAAAAGTCAATCTGTTTTTATTAGTCTGGACCTATTGAATAATGAGTTTGATTTTGTTAGGATTTTAGCATTTACAGATGGCTATTTAACTTGAAAAATAATTGGAAAATACTATCCACAAACTTGGATAAACTCCACAACTCCACAAACTCCACAAATGAGAAATGAATTATTTTAATTAAGATGGTGATGTTTACTGTTTCTTAAAACCATAATTCAGAAGTCTTATAGTGTTATAAGTCTGATTTGCCTGCTTTATTTTTTCAAATACTTTGATATATAGAAAACTTGCACAGCAGGTATGTTCTTTTTTTCCCCTGGCTGTGTCATCTTGAAACTTTTTCTCTTGTCCTGGGTGGTTTGAAATTCATCTTGAACTTTTAAAAATGTATTTTCCTTCTTTATGGTGGGAGGGAGAAAGAGAAGAAGTCGAAGCTACATTTTCTTTGCTTTTGGAGCTAAATCTAATGTCAGCTATACCGACAATTTTCTTCTGTGTTTACATGCAGCCAGGAGCTATGGGCGGAGAAGAGGTAAAAGTATTTACTAAATGTTTTACTTGCTGAATAGTGCGAGGAATAAATATTTAGTTTTCTTATGATGTTACCATTTTAATCATTTTGTTGATCAATTGCTTTTTATAAATCAATCTGATATTTTTTTATTTGCAAAATATCTCCAATTAAGACCAGCTTAAAACAATGATGATTTTGAACAGGTAACTTGAAATGTTTTGCTACTGCTAGTGAATTGACAGATGAGTAAATGTAAAGACTTTTTTCCAAGATAAATGTTTATGAATTTAAATATGTAGGGCCCTGAAAAGGATTCTTCTTTTTTTGGGTAGAAGTGTTACATTTAATTAGCTCATTGAACACTTCAAAAGCACTTGAGTACTTGGTGAGGCATCTTTTCTTTCACTTAATGTTACACTTAGCTATTGCATTGGATTGCCTGAGGTGGGACATGGTGAAATACCAATAATTGTCCTCAGCACTGAATGTTTATAATGAAAAGAAATAACATTTGACTGAGCCTCTTCTAATTGTATTTCATTGTTTAAGCAACCCCTAAAAATAAAAACAGATTGAAAATATTTTACAAATGTAGTACAGTGCTGCATGTAAGTTTGATTTGAGAGATTAATGAACATGGGCAATAACAAGCTTAATGACCACCAAAAAAGCTACTGATTTATCTTGTTTTATATACTGTACTGCAGCTTACACAAGCAGCTCTTATGGAGAAAATAACTGAGCACTTTCATTGTTTCTTCTTATGATTTATGAAAGAAACAAATGAAAAATGTATTTTTGTGACAGCTAAGCATATGATTTGTATCACTTTGAATGTCATTTTTTTCCCTCACTACAGTCTAGAGATGCAGATTTGTGAGGAAGCTTAGAGACAAAATTAGCTGTTCAAGCAAACCGGTAGTCTAGAATTAGCTTGTAACTTGCACGTATACAGAGACTGAGTTGTAGTTAGCTATACAGACTATACTGGTGCAGTTTTTAATACAGATTTTGAACTATTTGTGTTCAAATCCAAATATTTGTATTTTCTTCAGTAGCAAAAATGATTTTTTAAAAAATGTAGTATTAAAAAACAATTTTTTTGGTGGCCCTCCTTCCCTGCCCATCTTTTCTGAGAAGAGGTGGTTGTTACAGATGTTGAAAGCATCCCAATGCTTCTGCTTCTTCAGTGCCTCCATGGTACTGACACCACTTGGAAAGATTGTCATGTATAAAATATCCTCTCTATGAATGGGAACCCTGATTAATCTCGTTAAAAGATTGTGGCAAATGTTTGCAGATTGATCAAATGGCACCAAAATGGGGGAGAATTTGGGAATCAGTTGGACACAATAGACTTGCTGCAATTCATATTTACTTGTAGAAGTGAAATACAGTGATGTGGCAGTAATTTGATAGATGCAAGTTAGGCTGTAAAATGAGTGTCTTGCGCAAATTGTAGTGATAACAAAACAGGGCAAGCAAGTTCTGAATGTGTTGGACTTTCAGTATTTTTTTATGCTACTAAAAAGCATGTTTCACTTCATAATATTTTTGCTGTGTGAAATTGTCTTTTCTGTGGTAACAAGTAGATTTTTTTTTTGTCTTGTCATCTATGTTAGGGATTTTGTGACTTGCCTACTTGTATAATACTTAAGTCTGTGGCATTCATGCTTTTTCATTACCTTGAATTTTATAATGTTGCTTTGAGTGTTCTTATCTTAGGTGTGAAATTCTACCATACTCTATTTTATAAGATTTGTTTGTCAAATGGTCTCATGTTTCCCTCCTAATTAGTGGTTTTACCTTTTTTGCTGTTGTAGTATCCAGAGGCAGATCAGGGCAGGGCCTCTCTTAGTTTATTATAATTGACAATATTAGTGTTTGGTCTTATCACTGTGACTAAGCATCTTTAGTGAGAAGAGGCTTTGTCAGAAGTTTCTTGTGGTTTGCAATAGCCTATCTGTGCTGTGCTTGATCCCCTGTTCTCTTTGAGCAGAGAAGAGCCTTTTCTTTGCAGCCTTGCTGCTTAGAGCTGCTCTTGTTTTCAACAATTTATCAGATGTGTAAGCAAAGCCATGGAAAGGCAGCCCAGGTACACTAACAGCTTGTACGTTCCAGGTGAAGGAAGCCAGCATAGAAAACAGGGCATTTAGAGATGCCTTCCCATAATACTCCCCAGAGATCTGTTTCTGGGGATTTTTTGAGTTGATGTCCCGATATTTATTGCAATAGGATGTGTTTTTCTTCTGCTCACGCTCATTCCATTTTCTGAACCCATGTAAAATTCTTAGCATCCTAAAAAGGATGCTGTGTGGAAAAGATGGTGAACAAGCATATCCTAGTCCCTTTAAATATCTGTATATTTTATTTAATTATAAAGTTTTAAATCGCCTCTTGTATTCCAGCATGCCTTCCTTTGATATGTCAAATTCTGTTAATGGCTAATAATTTTTTATGTGAAGGTAAGTTGGTGGGGAAAATACATTAGAACAGATTATTTAGCTTCTTAAAAGTGCCATATTTCAAATTGCCTACTTTTTAGGGAGATTTCAGATTTGATACTCTTACCCTATTTTAGCCTTTCTAATTATTCTCCTCATGCATTTGCTCTTACACAAAAATGTGTCTGTGTGTATATGCATGACCTGCTAGCGTGTTACTGAGCAGTTCAGCAAGAATAGTCTTTCATATTTTATGGCATAAAGCTGCCATTTCAGATAATAGTTGTTCTAGACTTCAACTAACAGCATCTCAAAACCCTTTTGCAGTTGTGGCATTTGCCACGTATTCATGTTGGTGCTTCCAAGCACAATAATGGAGCGCTTCAGTAGATTTTGCACCTCATGGAAGCAGTTGGAAGCACCAACTCTCATGTTGGTGCTTCCAAGCACAATAGTGGAGCGCTTCAGTAGATTTTGCACCTCAGGTCTCTGTCAACATGATGCACTCTGTATGTTCTAATCCTTTCCTTGTACCTGGTTGTGCGTAAAAGCTCAGGTTGGTGCTCATTGTCTGTCAGAACATCTTTCTGTTTTTCATTTGTTTGTTCTCCATAAATAGGATTACTGCTTCTTTTTGTAATCTACGCTTTACTACTGAAGTTTCTGTTACTGATTCTCCCAGGATAGACTTTTTTTTTTTTTTTTTTTACTATAGTGTGCTCCTGCACATCTTGATTTTTCTCCTTGCTCCCATTTTTACTTCTCTGTACTTCCATATATTGTTAACACCAATATATAGATTAACTCTTCTTAGCTTTTGCTGGAAGTCACTTTAATGTGTTTCATTATTTTTGAATTTAATCATGTGTGTTATATTTAATTATATATATTATATATGGGTATTTTAAATCTGCTATAAACTGTTTGTATCAATTATAATTCCGCTCCTGGAAGCAATCCTCCATGATATGAGGAGGCAGTTAGCCTTTTCAGAGCTCAGATGTGGTTTCCATTTCTATGTCTCTCTATATTAAAGAATTTAGTTTTCAGCTCAGGTATAAGGAGATAAATGCTAAAGTTGGCATGAGCTATAGTACTCCTTATATAAAGCCTTTGAATACTTTTCCTATCTTCTGGTTGAATGTCTGTTCTTATGGTAATTCCTGCATACCTGCTCAATAGCAACTAACTTATGTATTTTCATCAATCAGGCAAATAGCAGCCATTTATGTTGGTTTGTGTTGGTTCATTACTGAAAGTATGTTTTAACACCAAGTAGCAGCTTAACAGGTTGCCCCAGTTAACAACTTTTCTCTTCAGGCAGAATGTAAGCTTTTGTGGTTTATTTAGTAAATCTCTTAAAGATTAGATCCTATTATCCGAGCTGCTTGCCTCGCCTACCTGCGTAATATCGACTCCCCAAAGCTTTTCTCTGCTTATTGTGCTCTTTGCCCCTCTGCTCTGCCCTGCCTGAGCCCCTCTGTGCCGAGGAGGAGATGATGCAGCCTCGGGGCTGGGACCCTGCCGGCCCTCCGAGCAGCGTCTCGAGGGATCTGCTCTTTAAGACCTGGTCTTGAAGATTTAAACCTCTCAGAATTGGTTTAAAATACAAATCTTGCAAAGGTTCCTTCTGCGGCTATGACACACAATTTAATCACATAACCTGTTTTTTTTATTTATTAGACATTTACAAGAACTTCTATTTTTAAAGCTGTTAGGTTTGTCTACTAAGAATAATACAGTTAAATACTGGAAAAACATAAGAAATACTAATGAACATATAATTTGGATTACTGAGGTACTTAATTGAGCCCTTTAATGCAAATTCTGTTAAAACAAAGCTGAACCTTAAAAAAAAAAAGTTATAACACTTAGGTTTTTACTGAAAGATTTATTTCTCGAGAAAATAGCTTTAACTGTAGATACTACAAAATCTGTTAC